AAAAGGCTAGATAAAAGCTAATAGTGATAAAAGGCTAGATAAAAGCTAATAGTGATAAAAGGCTAGATAAAAGCTAATAGTGATAAAAGGCTAGATAAAAGCTAATCATGACAAAAGGCTAGATAAAAGGTAATAGTGATAAAAGGCTAGATAAAAGATAAAAGCACAAAAAACTAAGTGTAGCCGGGCGGTAACTAAAAGCTAAAAGCATGGGGAAGAAGTCAAAGCCAGAGTGAGCAGCTGAAGCTGATTTCTGAAGGAGCTGAACAGATCTTCATGGGGGTCTGTTGGACAGTATTTATAAATAAAGTTAAATATTTTGAAAAGTTTAACAGTTACAAAAATGGGTGAGCCGGTGGGTGATAGGTATCCCTTTCATTAAAATCCTATTTTTCTGCTCGGACTCCAGTGTTTTTGATGTGAAATCAGCTGCGACTTTAACGTGACGTCTTTAAAGCACATTTGGGTGCGTTTTAAAAGCTTTGTGGGTAAATATTTATTATTCATGTCTTGATGGAACCTGAAGTAATGAAGGGATTTCTCTGCTTTCCGTGCAGATTTACGGGGCGATTATGCGGTTATTAAGAGCCATCATGTTTATCACGAGTCCATTAGGTGACCCCTGCGGTCCAGTTTTCTTCTCGTGTGAAGAGACCGTTCCATCAGGAGCGACCCGGCGTCTCGTTTCAGCTGCAACTCACCAGGTCGGTAATCTCTGCCGGGATTTATTCCCTGGGATTATGAGAGCAGCTGCGAGGCTTCCAGGTACAGATGTAATCCCCACAAAGCGTCGGCGTTATTGTTCATCAGCAGGTTTTATCTGACGGGCTGTCAGAGTTTCCAGCTGCAGGAACAGCTGGGAGCTTTTCTCAGAAACACAAAACCCGTAAAACCCCAGTCTGCAGGTTTCACTGACAGCTGCATGCTGGATCAGAACTCAGAACCGAAACAACAAAGATAAACTTTAAAGGTCCATTTGGCTCCAGATTAAACAACTTCCTGTTGGATTCTTTACTCGTGTGATCGTGAAAGCATCGAGGAAATTAAAAGACAGTCGGATCGATCCGATGACTCCACTGAAAAATTAATGACGAGGATAAAAAGCTGCAGCTGATTTCTGCCTGCCTCAAGAACTCCAGCAAGTAAAAACAGCTGCACAAATGACAGGAATTACAACGTCTGCACACTTTTTAAAGGTAGAATTTGTTTCAGCAGCATGAAATGAGAAGAAAGAAGTTGATTTTTATTCACTAATTGTCAAAAACTAAACAATGATTTGTATATTTATCAGAATCAGAATAAGCTTTATTATCATTGTACTGAAATACAGTGAGATTATGTTTGTACAGTCGTCCGAAAGATGGGTGGAGTGCACGTTGCTGCGGCTACTGGAGCGCGGCCCCTTATCCTTTTTCAGAATCTTTTTTAGATTAAAAAGGGTAAAACTATCCATCGAGGATAGGATAGTGGCATTACAATAAAATATCTCTTCACATCTTGTTTTATCAGGACATGATTTAAGATATCAAAAAAACAACTTGTGCCAGCAAGCACATTTCTAAACACATTACATATGCATTTGATGACGAGACGGTGAAATTTATCTATGAAGCACTTCCAGATAGACCATAGTCCTGATGAGATGTTGGTCAGCCGGCACAGTTCTGATAAGCCTTCGAGGTTGCTATAGACAAAGCTTTTTCCTTAGTTTACACATGTCACAGGAGAAATTTGATAAGTCAGCCTGTTTTCGAGGCCAACTGGGGGAGTCAGATTCAGATAATCCACAATTGTTGATTTTTTTTTCAGGCAGACTGTTTTTTTTTCTTGTCATCCTTAAGTTCTTCTGGTACTTTCAAGATCCAAAATGGCCAGATTATTGGACATTCCACTGGTCCATTCCTATGAGGCTCCTCCAAGGTCGTCTCCAACATGCTGGCGAGTCCCAAAAGCCGCAGGTGGAATGCGATTCTCACAAATCCCTTCCATCTTATGGTTTAGCGCGGAATTCAGCTGATTTTGAGTACTTGAAGCACGAACCAAACCTTCACACAGACCCAAAAGTTTTGCCATTGCCAAAACTGCTCCCGCCGTCTTCCTTAATAGCCGATAACACAGGAATCCGCCAATGCCAGAAAGCAGAAACCCTGTTATCATGAATCCAATTATATAAACATCTTCGGCGTCCTCCTGAGACAAAACGGAAAGACACATCAGCTCCCAAACTCCCCACGGATCCATGACGTATCCTGCCGCACGAGTGTCAAAGGGGCATGAGGGCTCTCCAGGACCCTGTTGCTTTGTTGAAAAGATTTTGTCAATTGCATTGAAAGTCCAGCTCACCAGATCCATGACAGTAGTTTTAGTTTCGGAAGATGTGTACCAGCAGCTCCGATACACAGACAGAGAGCAAAAAAAAAAAGCAGGAGGAGAACAGGAGAAGGAGAGGAGGCAGCCGCCTTGCACGAGAGCGAGTGCAGAAAAATACATAGAATGTTAGAATGTTAACTTGAAGTAGTGATGGAAAAATATTATTTATCAATCTGCTTCCTGATACATTCAATATTATTTGACCATAATAACATTTATAATCATTTTGTTACTTTAAGGTCACTGTGAATGATATATTTGACATTATAACACTTTCACTCAGGCGCCAGTGGACAGCTGGGTAGACGCTTATCACCCTCCTCGTAAGAAACTTTAAAAAATGTTTTCCTTTCTGTGAGGCTGTTAGCCGCCTAGGTCCGGTTCTGAAAACACTAGGACAAGTCCAAGGGGAGGGGCAGGCCCCTCACGAGTTTCTACAAAATAAACGTTTTCATTCCAGGAAGCCCGAGCGGGTCGGAGACTCAGCCGGGACAAGGCATGAATATGTTCTGTACTTGTGATGCATTGACTCTGAGTCTGACTGTTCTCCAAAGCTTTCCAATAATTCTGATGAAATCTGATTGTTTGGGAGTTTGTTTTGTTCTACGACAGCAGTGGTGTTGAATTTTGTTGCCTCTGACACAAAAATTAATACAACTATCAGAGGAAGTCCCATCATTTCCTCACAAAGCAAAAGCTTCAGTTTAGACTCAACTTGTTCCCCCAGAAAACAATTTAATTTCTCAGTTTCAACATTTGGTGGTTCCTGTGTTCCCCTGTGCATGAAATCTGTTTGAGGTTCACAAATTGCTGCGTTCTGGTTTTAGTTTACATTTTAAACGACGTCCTGACTGTCTCATGAGAGGAGCTGTTCAAGTTTGTCTCTTAGAGGAAGAGGAGGAGCATCTTTCCAACACCTCCTGGACCTGATCAGCTGTCAGGAGACTCTGCAGACCTTCAGCCTCAGAGATGAAGCTCTGCGGAGTTGGTTCTTACCGATCCTGATGAATCCGTCGTCGGTCCGATGGTACTTTGGTGTTTTCTCCCTTCCTTCAGTCAGGGCTTCTTTCTCCGCCTGGATATTCTGTAAAAAACAAACAAAAATAAATAAACAACCAGAACTAAACACCTATTTTTAATATTTAAACTCATCACAAACTGAATCATACAGATAAAACAAACAGCTGGATTTTATTTTGAAACATTCAGTCTGACAGGAAGACCCACTTCACCCATCGTCTTCCTTCCCTCCCTCGTCTCGGTCAGTGTTGCTATGGTAACCGCCTCCCCTCCCTGCTGCCGGTCCTCTTTCCATCCTTCTGCTTCCTTTAACTGTTTTATTTGTCTCTTTGTTCTGCTCAGCTGATCTGAACAGGAGCATTCCTCCTCCTCCTCCTCCTCCTCCTCCTCCAACAAATCTGTCGGCTTCCTGCCGTGGCTCTCGGCTTTAATCAGCCGTTGGCTCGCAGAGAAGAGACGGATTCATCCTCCAGCCTCCTCAGAACCCAAACTGAGCTGGCAAAAAGAAGGTCGCGGTCCTCGACTACAAGCTGAGCTAAAGACGGTTTCCTCTTTAAGTAACGAACAAAAGGTCCTGATTTATCACCTGACTGATAACTAACTGCTGATGTCTGAGGGGTGACGCTGTTTTTAGAGTTTCCTCAGACAGAACAAAAAAAAAAAAAAACATATGAGTGAAAAATATTACGGCAGAATTAGGATGTCAGGTTTATTTCTTAACCAACACGAAAGTTAAGAGCAAATACACACCTAAATGGATGCTGGAAGCAAATCTTCATTGTGTTTGCACAGGTTGACGTTTTGCACCCATCAGCTCACCTAACAAACACAAACTTACTGTGCTTTAGTTATAGATATTATTATTATTATTATTATTATTATGTAACTTTACTTCCAAAGTTGACTTCAGTAAATTCAGTCCTGACTGTTGGAGGGACTGCTGCGAAGAAAGTATAATCTGATGGAGGTACGAACTGACCAGGAGCCCAGAATATAAAACATCAGCGTTTAAAACGATGTTTTCTTGGTAAAAAAAAAAAAAAAAAAAATCAGCATCAGGTAATCTGACAGGATGCAAACATTTAAAACGCTTCCACTTCAATCGTCTCATCTGCCCTGAATCAGCCAACGTTTAAACTCCACACTCAATAAAGAAAACTGAATTAAAGCCTCAAAATATGTTATCATCCATAAAAAAATCCATAATTTATTTTTCGAGCCCCTGAATCAAAAGGAAGTGAAGAAAAGTAAAGCCTGAAACTGTTAAATCTCCAAAAAACATGAAATAACTCTGAAGTTTTTGTAAAACGTCCAATCCGTCTGCAGAAGTTTCACATTTTGTGCTCCATTTATGAGACTTTGATGTTTCTACTTGAAGGAGCTGGTTTGATTTTAAACAGATGGATTTTCACGATATAAAAGCTGTTCCTTCCATTTAGGACCAGATGGAGATGGATCTGAGGACTCACGTCAAAAGGTAGAACCTCCACCGACGTGTTGAAGAGCTTGTCTCCTGGATGCTCGATGTTTCCGCTCCGGAAGAAATACCTGAAAACCAAGGAACAGACTCTGAGTTCTTCGATGCCCCGAGAGTCCCCATAAAGTTCCCCTGCTGATCCTGACCTCTCGATGCGGACCGGCGTGAAGAACCGTATCCTGATGAAGTCCCCGGCCACCGGGGTGAAGGCCCAGAAGAAGTCCTCCCCTGCGTAGGCCTTCTCCAGGGTGAAGTGCTGGTAGGTCTTCAGGCTGGTGGTCACCTCGGCCAGCGGGTTGGCGTGACCTTTATGCAGGGTCTGTTTCCCGAAGTCCTTATCCTGGAAAACCACAGAGTCATCTTACAGAAGGTTCCTGCAGAACCGATGAGGCCGAGCAGAAAATGCTGCATCGCGGCCCGTGGGGAGGAAGAACCCTCAGAGTGTAAAAAATGTAAATTAGTGTCTAAAACCGTTTTGTTTGAGTTTGTATAAAAATAATTACAGCGTTTAAACGACACGCGTGGCTACGAGTTTAAGAGAAACGTCATCATCCCTAACCCATCCAGGCCCGAGTGAGAAGGTCCCCGAGGAACCCAGAGGAAGGGTTCTGGTGCAGGTTTCTAAGAACAAGGAGGAAGTTGAGAGCTGAAGAGGAACAAAGACGAAGATCTGAGGAGGAGGAGCAGGAGGAGGTGATGATGGAGGGTTTCACTGAGGATTTCTGAGTTGGTGAAAAAGTTCAGAGACAGTCAGGAGGAGTCGGGGGGGGGGGGGGGGGAGAGACTGTTGGAGACAAGGTGGCAGTTTTTATTGTGGCTTCTTATGCTACTTTTAGCTTTAGCATCCTGCTGTTTTCACGTCCTGTTAGTATATTGCTACTTTTGGCTTTTAGCTATCATTTTTGATACTTTTAGCTTTTAATTAACTTTTTGGATAATTTTAGTCTATTGCTACGTTTAGCTTTTAACTTGTGTTTAGCTTATTTCAGCATTAAGTTAGCTACATCTAGCTTTAAGCTAACCTTTTGATACTTTTACCCAACATCTTGCAGCTTTTATCTGTTTTGTGACTTTTAGCTAGTCTTTTTCTCTGTTAGCTTTTAGCTATGCATTTTTGATGCATTTAACAAGATTTTTGGTACTTTTAGCTAGTCTTTTGTTAGTTGTGCTTTTAACTTGTGTTTTGCTGTTTTTAACATTTGTTACCTCTTTCTTTCAGCAAACTTTTGCATACATTTAGCCTTTTGCTACTTTTAGCTTCTGGCTACCATATTGCTACTTTAGCTTTTGGCTAACCTTTTTTATACTTTTATCCAGGCTTTTTCTACTTTTAGCTACACTTTTACTGCTTTTAGCTAAAGTTTTAGTTTTAGCTGCTCTTTTGAAACATTAGTTTTTAGCTTGTGTTTTATTACTTTTAGCTTTAAGTGAGTCACTTTTAGCAATTGTCTACTCTTTCACTACCTTTACCTTGTCTTTTGCTTTTATTATCAAAATCTTTGCTGCTTATATTTGATGTTTTGTGATATTTAGCTAGTCTTTTGATACATTAGCTTTTATATATAGTTTTTAATACTTTTGACTTTTAACCATTTTTATGGTACTTTTAGCTAATCTTTTGCTACTTGGTAGATTTTGGCCCTAGACATACTGCATAAATTTGTCTCTATATACTGTATGTCTGTGGATTTTGGCTATTATGTTTCTAATTTAGCTTTAGCTCACAATTTCCTAATACTTTTATTTATTGTTTTGCTACATTTAGCTCCCATCCTACTCTTTTAGCTTTCAGTTTGTCTTTTGGTACTTTTAGCTACATTTTGAAACGTTTAACTAGTCGATTGCCACTTTCAAGTACATTTTTGCTGTTTTTATCCAGTGTTTGTTACTTTTAGCTAGTCTTTTGATCCAATAGCTTTTAACTAGATCTGCTTTCTTTTGATTTTAGCTGCTGCTCTGCTTCTTTTAGCTCTAACAGCTGAGTTTCGGCTGAGCTCTCAGCCTGTTGCTTTCAGAGAAAATCAATTTTTTCCTGAAATGGGACTATTTTAGATTACCAAAATAAAAATAAAAAATTGAAGCAGATATTATTTCGGCTGAGACTCAGATAGTTGGAGGTGTTTTTTTCTCCGAGAAGGATTGATGGTTCAGCTGATCTGAGCTGAAGCCGTTTTTGGATCTTTTGTTGATTATTTCAGCTGCTGACGTGTTGGTTCAGCCTGTCAGCATGGTTCTGAACGTGTCGGCTGTCGCTGCTGGTTCTGAACGTGTCACTGCCGACAGCTGTGAGCGCCACGCTGCGTCACCAACGGAACGCTAACGAGTCCGACTAACGAGGCGATTTTTAAATGGAGAAGAAGAACAGCTGCCGGGGGTGGGGGCTGTTCCACAGGAAGACGTTTGAGGAGCGTCCTCAGATCCGGCAGCAGGTTTCTCGTCTCATCACAGATGTTGGCTGACCCCTGGTCACGGCTGCTTCATGGTTCTGATCCGTTTTACAGAACGAACCTGAAGCAGACTTCCTGCGGCAGAACTGATCAAAGCTCATCGTCTGTACTTTGAGGTTTTGAAGATTTGTTGTGATCCAAAGTGTTTCACAGAAACATCCAAGCCTCTGAGTGTTAGGAGCAGAATCTTTCTGAAGGACCGCAGAACCGGTCCAAAGTTCGAGGGAGTTCGCCCGACGTGTTAGGAGGGGAGATGTTCTCTTAGCTCAGTCAACCATCATGGAGCCACAGTCTGGACTGAGACGGTGCTCCTGAGAGGAACCGGATGGTCCAGAAGGATCATAAACCGGTCCGACAGAGTCTAACTATGTGCTGCAGACCCGGGAGTCTCTCTGAGACAGCATCAGGGTCTTGGATCTGATCCAGGCGGCCGAGGAGAGTCAATGGAGACACGATCTGGACCAGCTGGGGTTTCACTGCTGGGAGAGCTGACCCAAACCATCATCCCTCCACCACCAGCTGCCTCCATCTGTCTGAGGCCATTGCTGGTTTTGTTCCGCTCTGGCACTGTGTTAACGCACCCCTGTATGAAGGACTGGACCCAGTTTTTCCACTCACGGCTTTAACATTTGGTTTCTGTTTAATAAATAATGACTCCGCGGAGGTTTGACTCGAATCTTTCGGAACCAAAGACCCGATCCAGATTCAGCGTTCTAATTTCTACAGTCCATAACTTCTGCAGACGTTTTGATGTTTTAGCTGTTAAACAAAATGGTCCCAGACTTGGGTGCAGTGACTCTTACTTTTTGTAACATTTATACTTTGCAAACTCTTTAACTTGATTTACAAATATTTTCTCTGTAGGATCATCTTGATGCTTTTAGCTTTGTGTTACAGTTCTGCTACTTTGGGTGTTTAGCTAGCTTTTAGCTTTAAGCTAAGAGTTTTGAGCCTTTTGCTACTTTTAGCATTTTGTTCACTTTTCGTTTATCCGTCCCTCCATTTTGTTTCCTCTACAGGTCTTGGGGAGCTGCGGTCTGTCTCCAATGGTCTCCAGTTTTAGAGGCGGGGGACCCCTGAACAGGTCTCCTTAGACCTTTAAATGCTCTAAATCCAAACATTACCTTGTTTACTGTTGTTGATTTTTGTGGATCTGATGACAGATGTTTTTTTATTCTAAATTACAAGACTCCATAAAAAAAAATAAAAAATCCAACCCTCTTTACGTCTCCTCTGGTTTCAGCTCGACGTGCAGGAGTCGGGTTGATTGAAAGCAGCTGCGTTCACCTCAGTCTACTCGGTCCAAGGAGCAACTCTCTCCAGTTCAGACTCCACAGAGACAGTCGGATCGATATCCAATTGATTAGAGCAGATTGCAGCAGCTGGGTTGATATGGCTCCTAACGCAGTAATCAGAGGCATTATGTCGAGGCGCTGGGCTGCATAGGCTCGAACCGAGCCGCAACCACGGGTTCTGTACAAGCTACAGACGAAACCCGGAGAAAATATTTATTTACGCCCAAATTCAAAACAAATCCTTAACAAATAAAAGTAGAATGTTTCTGAAGAAACTTTAAAGAGCAAAGCAGCTCCAACGTCCATCAACCTCCTCCTCTAAAGTCCAGCAGGAACTCAGAACTTCCTTTTGTCACAATCGAAACTTGGACCGAGACAGACTTTTATTTTGAAAAGTATCTATTAGCTTTATTTTGAAACTCCAGTCTCAGTTCTCGTCCTGGTTCCTGTGAACCCTCCAACTGAATCCTCCTGCACATCAAAGGTCCGATTAGCGACGACATGAAATCTGAGGTTCTACAGGATCTATGGGGGCGGCCATGATGGAAACACAGAAGGAAGACAGGCATGCTGGGTAATATAGAAGACCCACAACATGCTGAGTCACTGGTTGCCATGGTGATTCCTGCCTTTTTTTTTAGGGAGCAGAAGGGGCGGGGCAGCACAGAGCAGCGCTTCAGACAGAAACACAGAGTAAAAAGTAAGCCTCAGACAAACAGCCTATGTGTTAAAACTAGAAGTTGGATCAAAAAGTGTCTCGACTCGAGATCAGCACAAGGTTCTGATGGTACCACAGGTTCAGGTTAATGGTTTTACAGGGTGTAATGGAGGAGATATGGCAAGTTAAAAAGAGCCTTCACTTCCTGTGTTGGTAGAATGGAAGTCAATGAGTTTGGGTGTGTGACCTCTGACCTCTGAGAGGGAACCATCAGACAGAAATACCTACAACTGGATTAATGAACTGAAGAAGCATTACATTAAGAAATTAAACCAAGTTAGAAGGTATGTGCTTTATATATTTATATTAAAATTTATTTGTTCATCTCATGTAAAACAATTTGTCTTCTCTGAATTTTGTTTGTTTAGAAACTTATTTAATAACCCTCTGTCCCCTGGTGGATCTCGGAGAGTGGGGGTGCCTATTGGGGTCAGCGGGGGAGCTGGTCCCCTGGGGGGGCATTGCCACCTCAGTTCACCTCCCCATCCCAACGTCCTCCTCCGCCCACTCCACCACACCACCACTCAAACAGGGTTTTGGGGTTCAGGTGCACTACTGAGCTACAGGGAGAATCATCCATCTCCGTGGCTGGTGGGGTCCTGGGCCCTAATTTTAATATACAACCTAGACACTCACTTATAACACTCTCACGACACAGGCATATATAGGATCTGGAGTGGGCACATGATCGCACTTAGGTGGTGGGATGTACTACCATTTCCACCTCCCCGGACCTGTGCCCACTCTCATATGTAGCATGTAGACATTTAGGGTTCGGGGCGGAGATGAGGGGTGAACGGGCACCGCCTGCTCTCTGGGCAAGAGGTGGGTCTGTGCCGATCGCCACCTCATCCCCCCATTTTAAACGCACTGTATAACAACATGCATCAACACCATATTCGAGTGGGAGGAGGAGGAAGTGGGTCTGTTCATAATTTATTTATGCATATATAGATTATTATTATTTTTTTTTATTTTAGTTATTTTTATTTATTTTTTTTTTTATTATTTTTTTTTTTATTTTTTTTTTTTATCACAAACACCTCCTTTCTCTGTGTGACACTAGGGGTCTGGGATGGAGGGGGAGGGGGGCACATTGTTGGGGTCTGGGCTGTGGGTGGGCTTTGGGTCTTGGGGGCGGTCAGTGGTGGGGCCGGTGCTTCGGTTCCTCCTGGGCTGTTCCGATTCTTTTAATCTAGGTTCCTGGTTGCGATGGCCGGCACTTTGACCGGGGTGGCTGCCGGCTTTCGGCGGGGGGGCGGCTATGGTAGTGTACGTGTGGTCATTGGTGGTGTAGGGCGGCGGTTGGGGGCGTGGCTTCGCCTCATCGGGGCACTGGCTGGTCTTCCTGTGTGGCATTTGCGGTGGGGGTGCTGTGTGTGTGGGGGGGGTGCATAGGTGGCGTGCTGGGGCGTCTCCGGGCCTATGGTGCAGGGCTCTTGATGTGGGGGCCGGCCCTCCTCAGCTGCGGCTCCCTGCTGCTCTGCCCTTTGGGCTGGGGCCGGCCTGTGGTCGCTGTCAGGTAGATGGTGCATGCTATCTGTGTGTGCCTGTTGGTTGCTCAGGTTGGGTTTTTGGTGGTACCCCTCTCTTGGATCAATTTGGGCCCCACATTTGGTGTGGGGCCCACTCCCCCCGGTCGTGCCCCCCTTTGGCGGGGGACCCCCTTGCCGCCGGTGCATTGGTGGCTCTCGGTGTCTGGGCTGGGTGGTGGGGTGCACGTCGGTCTGCCCTGGTTGCTGCCTGGCGGGGCCTGGGTGCCCTGGCTCTGTCGGGGCTCTGCCGGGGGGTGGTATGGCCTCGGGGCTTGGGGCTCGGTGTCCATGGCCGGATCTACTTGGGGGGGCATGGGTCGCCGGCCGGACCTGTGGGCTCGTCGCTGCAGCTTCCTGGAAGCTCTGCATTGTGGTGGCTGGGGTCACCCGGTTCTTTCCTCTGCTCCTCTCTGGGGGGTGCGGTTCTCCCTGTTGGGAGACTCCTGGGGCTCCGGGCCTGTGGGCCGCTGTGTGTCTGTGGCTCCGGTCCTCCCTATGTTGCCATTGTGTCCTGGGGGACGGGTCTGTGGGCCCCCGCGTCCACTATTGGGCATTCTTTTGGAGAAATCTGGTGGTGGCAGGCGTGCTTGCGCGGGTGTTTGGATTCAGGTGCTGTGACAGATGCACGCTAGGTTGGGTAGTGGTGGAAGCTAGATGATTCCTTGTGCAATGTCGAATGTTTCATGGTGATATTGTGGGTGGCATTGTGCTGTGCATGTTGTTTTGTCGTGGTGGTCTCTCGTCTTATCTATTTCTCTTTTATTATTTAATTATTCTTCTTTCTTCTCTCTTTAAAAAAAAATAATAATAAAAAATAAAAAAAAATAAAAAATAAAAATTGAGCGATGACGATAAGTTCATTGAAACACTTCACAATGTTTCTACACTTAAACTGAGCTCAAAAAAAAAAAAAAAAAGAAACTTATTTAATCAACATTTTTGAGACGCTCAGACAAGTTATAATTCTTTTAAGTATTTCTATACATCCTCGCCTATTTAGAAAACAATTCTTTAACCTTTGCCTAATTTAGGTCATTTTAGATAATTTAAATTTAAAAAATATATAAAAACTCTTCCATCTGTTTTACTTTACGGTAATGCTGTCAAATCGTGTTATACCTGTGCACGCTGCGTGTTCCTGTGCTTTTATTGTGAAACATTTTGTGGCTTTTATTTTTATAAAGTGCCACAAGTAATAAGGGGATGCTGCAAAATAAAACAAAATCAGCAAAAGCTGATGAAAATAAATGTCCATTTCAAACTGAAGAAATAAAGAGCTAAATAAATCTTAATCCTGCTAAAGATTCTTTCAATATCATTAAAAATGTAATGTGTTCATCGTGATTATTCCTGAGAAACATCAGAAATATTAAACTCAGGTATATTTGAGCTGAAGCTGAGTGAAAGATAAAAACAGAACCTGGATCAGCCAAATTAAATCTACAGACCAGAACCCACCTTCAGTTTCTGGATCTTCCCGGCTAAAGACGAGTGCGTGCCGACGTGCTGGAAGAGCGACGGCTTGAAGCGGATCCTCAGGTTGGCCTTCTGTCGGTCGCAGTGTTTCTGTAGGAGACAGACAGGATCAGACCTGAAACCGCCCTGCAGGACAGGAACCACACAGGTTCTGCATCAGGAGTTCTGCACAGGAAGGAGCCCACTCACTGCATCCTTCTCCGGGTTGCACACTTTGACCCACATGATGTGGTCCAGCAGCCAGTCGATGGGCTTGTCTTTGTAGAACATCAGCATGAACTCCACGATGAGCGACAGGTCCAAGGATTTAAACATTTTGCCTGCAGAGGGAAAGGAGCACTTCCTGTTGGTTCAGTTTGGATAAACTAATAAACAAATCATCATTTATTTAAATCAGAACCAGGATTTTCTGTTAGAATTCAGTGAAAATGTTGAAATCTGCTAAAGAAGCTGAAACTGAATCAAAGCTAAAAAAAACAAACACCAGCTAAAAGAAGCAAGATGCTAGCTTAATGTAAATGAAGCTAGATGCTAGCTAAATGTAAATGAAGTTAGATGCTAGCTAAAAAGAAAAAGAAGCAAGATGTTAGCTAAAAAGTAGAGTGGCGAAATGTTAGGTAGAAGTTAAAGGTATAAGAATGGTAGCTGAAAGCTAAGAATAGTAACAACCTAGCTCTAAGCCTAAAAAAGCAAGACAACCATAAAAAAGCTAAATGTTAGGTAGAAGCTACACGTCCATAGCTAAAAGCTAAAAATAACTAAAGGCTAGCTCTAAAGCTACAAGATTCTAGCTAAAAAGTGAAGTAGCAAAATGTCGGCTAGAAGGTTAAAGTACAAGAATGGTAGCCGAAAGCTAAAAATAGCCAAAAGCTAGCTGTAAGCCTAAAAATGCAAGACAACCATAAAAGAAGCTAAATGATAAGTAGAAGCTACATGTCCATAGCTAAAAGCTAGAAATAACTAAAAGCTAGGTCTAAAGCTACAAGATTCTAGCTAAAAGGTGAAGTAGCAAAATGTCGGCTAGAAGGTTAAAGTACAAGAATGGTAGCTGAAAGCTAAAAATAGCAAAAAGCTAGCTCTAAGCCTAAAAAAGAAGGACAACTGTAAAAGAAGCTAAATGTTTGGTAAAAGCTACACGTCCATAGATAAAAACTAAAAGAAGCAAGATGCTAGCTAAATCTAAACGAAGCTAGATGCCAGTTAAAAAGTAAAAGAAGCAAGACGCTAGCTAAAAAGTAGAGTGGCAAAATGTTAGGTAGAAGCTAAAAGTACAAGAATGGTAGCTGAAAGCTAAGAATAGCAAAAAGCTAGCTCTAAGCCTAAAAAAGCAAGTGAACCGTAAAAGAAGCTAAATGTTAGGTGGAAGCTACACGTCCATAGCTAAAGCTAAAAATAAACAAAGGCTATCTCTAAAGCTACAAGATTCAAGCTAAAAGGGGAAGTAGCAAAATGTTGGCTAGAAGGTTAAAGTACAAGAACGGTTGCTAAAAGCTAAAAATACCAGAAGGCTAGCTAAAAGCCAAACGTATCATAAGGATACAAAAACAAAGCCAGTTTGTTCAGACAGAACAAAGTGCACTGCTACGGAGAAACATAAAAAGTAAATAAAGTTAAGCGTTTGAAAACGTTAAGCGTTTAAAGCGTTAAAAACAAAAGCCTCGGTACCGATCTACTGAACGAGCCGAACGTTTTGATTCATGAACGATTTAAAAAGCACAAAGTGAGAAATGGGTTTGATGCAGAAAAACGTACAGAACACGAAGAACGTCGTGACAATAAACGTGAACGCTGACTCAGCGTTCTGACCGACTCGTCCTGCATCAGTTTGGTTCTGAACAGAAGACAGCCGTTCCACAATTTGACCCATTTTGGCTCAAACAGCCTCTTTAGTTGAAACCGATCATGACTCAGTTCTTCACCGGTACCAAACAAACCCAGTTTCCCTTCAGCGGGTTTCTGTTCCAGATCCTCTGAAATACAAAGGTCAAAGGTCAGCCCGCCTCGCTGGGCTCAAACTCTGACGAGCTAACGGCCTGCAGACAAGCTCAACCCGCTCCCGGACCTCGTCTGGTTCTTCCTGATCGGTTTGGACGTGTCGGCCTCCGGAGGGTCGGATGTTCGGAGCCTCTGGAGAACCGCGGAGACAAAAACCGGAGCTAAACTTAGTAAACGCGAGCAGCTGAGTTAGAGAGCCGCCTGCAGCTCCTCCGCGGTCTGATGTGATTCGGTGAGTCAGCTGGACCCGGACGAATCTATTAAAGCAGCCGCCGCTCGCAGCCGACTCGGGTCACGGAGGATTCGTTGGGTCAGAGCCGAGGGCCGGAGGGAGGAGGAGGAGCACCATGTTTAGGCAGCCAGGGCTGAAGAAGAACATACAAACATCCAAGTGGGAAATCAGCGTCTGGTTCGAACCCAACGGTTCTGATGGTAAATGGTTCTGATGGTAAATGGTTCTGATGGTAAATGGTTCTGATGGCATATTACAGCAAACTTAAAGTGTCCACCTTCCACCAGGTCACAGAGGCCACATCATCGGGTCACCCAGACCTTCCTCTCCCAAGGTGTTCCCAGACCAGAGAGCATACACAATCGCTCCAGCGGGTTCCGGTTCTGAACCGGGTTCTCTTACCAGTAGAACGTGCCCAGAAAACCTCCAAAGCGAGGTGCCAATCCAACTCCACCCTACCATCCCCCAGGAACAAGACGCCCAGATACTTGATCTCCACCTGAGGCAAAGACTCCCCCCAGAAAGACGTAAATAAAAACCTTCTACTGGTTTTACAGTTTAGGATGAATTCGTTGATTTCCGTTCGGGGACATCAACTTCCTGTCGGATGAAACCCAACGAGCTCTTTGATCTCAGGTGAACGTCTCAGCTTCGTTTCTTTCCGTTTGTCCAGGATCCTCTCAGACTCTGCAGCGGTTTCCTCAACTCTCCTCTGGCTCTGGTTTTCCTGCGTCTCGTTTATTAGGAGCAGTTGTTTTCAATCTTCTCCCTCGGCTGTACGACTCAGTTTTTGTCTTTCGTAGAGCAAAGAGAGAAGAACGAAGGCCCGGTGCGTTACCGTCCCTCTCGTGAAGCAGCAGTTTCATCATCTCCACTCAGGAGATGAAGCACATCGCAGCGTTTGTCCTCGTGCAGAAAGAAGGGCTGATTGAATCGATTAAAACTCGGCGTTATTAGTCACGATTCTATTAATACCAGAGTCCCCCCTCATCCATCCCACGCTCCACTTAAACCAATAAAAATAAATGAGTTTGGACTCCTCGGCTCCCCTCCGGGTGCACGACGCTCGACGACATCATTAATTGTTTTGTTTTTTTCCCCCGTCTCTCTGTTGCAATTAGCGAAATCAATAACTCAGCCTATAAAAGGTTTAACTTCTTCTGATGGAGGAAGCGACGCCTCGAGCGGCGAGGGACTCGGACCACTTCAGAGAGGTCCCGCTGGACTCGGAGCGCCGAGCCCCACCGTGCAACAGTTTGACGTCGACTCGGGCTTTCTGTGAGAGAAAACCACAAACGTTCATCTCCGCCTCCTCCGACAGGAGGAACTCACCGATGAACCCGAGCTGAGAGAACTCCAGGATCATCCACTCCTCCAGCGGCTGCTGCAGAGCGAAGTTCTTCATGGTGGAGAAGTAGTTTGGACGAGCCACGATGTCGTCCTCCAACTGGAAGACAGAGACGGATCAGAGACGGATCAGAGACGGATCAGAGACGGATCAGAGACAGATCAGAGACGGATCAGAGACAGATCAGAGACGGATCAGAGACAGATCAGAGACAGATCGGAGACAGATCGGAGACAGATCAGAGACGGATCAGAGACGGATCAGAGACAGATCGGAGACGGATCGGAGACAGATCGGAGACGGATCAGAGACAGATCAGAGACAGATCAGAGACGGATCGGAGACAGATCAGAGACGGATCGGAGACGGATCAGAGACAGATCAGAGACGGATCGGAGACAGATCAGAGACAGATCAGAGACAGATCAGAGACAGATCAGAGACAGATCAGAGACGGATCGGAGACAGCCGTTTTCTTTATCTACTTCTGTAAAATGATGCAAACCGAGGAATCAAACAGGAAGAAATACACAGAAAATAATTTATTTAACCTTTTTAAACTATTTTAATCATTTTATTGTAACTTAAGCAGTGAGGTGCAGTCTGTTCTTGTAGTTCTATAAAATTAGTTGTCACTTTAAAAAATGCTGGAACTTTCTAAAACTCTTTTGTCCTCCTCATCTTCAGTTCACACACCGAGCTGCAGGTGCTTCTTTCAGAACCTTCTGCTGGTCACGGCTCAAGAAGTTCTTTAGTTTTCAGACGAAGACGGTTTGTCCGAGACTTACCTTTTACTCTGTGTTTCTGCCTGCCTTGTAAAAGTTTTAGTTCTGTTGGAACACGTCAAATTTCCTTCAGCCTATTTTATTCTATTTTTACTGTTTATTTTCCCTCAACAATCTTTTTACTTTATTCTATCACAAAAATGTATTTTTATTTAATTATTGGACATTTTTCTGTAAATATTTCCATTTTCTGTTTTCGTTTTCTCCCCTGTATGTTTGTTTTCGTCTCCTGTTTATTTTTATTCTTATTTGTATCTCTGTATTTCTCTCGTCTGTAATTGTGTGAATGTTGAAGCACTCACTTAATTGATTGATCCATTTTTCTTCTGTGTTTTTCAGCATCTTTCTCATTCCACAATTTGTGATATTTCAACGAATCATATATCGAAACATTCAGCTCGTTCAGGAGAAGGGTACTATGACTTTAGGTATTGGTGTAACTTTAGCTTTTTGAAATATTTAGCCTTTTCTGCCTTTTTTGTCTTATAGAAAATGAGTTGAGCTCATTTTACATCCTTCAAATCTTTAGATCTGTTCTTTTTACCTTTTACTGCTCCTTTCACATTTTGTTCTGCTTCAGATTCTTTCAGCTTCCTTGTGCAAATTTTAGCTTTATTCAGCTCCTTTCAGCTAATTTCAGCTGTTTTGTGATCCTTTTACGTTTATTCTGCCAATTATAAAATGTTTGTGCTTCTTCTAATTTATTTCTGCTAATTTCAGCTTATTGATTCAAATTTAGCTTGTTCTGTTATTTCAGCTACTATTTAGCTGTTTTATGCTAATTTTAGCTTTTTCAGCAAATTTCTTTTTTTTTTTTTTTTGCAGTAATTAAAACTTTTTCAAGCCTAATTCAGCAAAAATGTGCTCTCTCCCATTTCTTCTGGTAATTTATGTTGCTTTCTGCCTTTTTAGTTACTTTTCAGCTGTTTTTTTTTTGTTTTGGTGTGTTATTTCTGATTTGTTTTTTTTATTTTATTTTTTCAGATAATTTCCACTTTTTTTTTTGGTGCTCAATTCTGCTTTTTTCAGCCTAATTGGACAAGCATGTTCTTTCTGGTTTCTTCTGCTAATTTAGGCTTGTTCTACCCTTTCAGCAAGCTTTTAGCTAATTTAATTTAAAAAAAAAAAGCTTTTTGTTCTTGATAAATTCAAGTTTGTCGTGGAAATGTTGGCACCTTTCAGCCTAATTAAGCTTGTTGTGGTCCTTTCAGCTTATTTCTCCTAGTTTGTTATTTCGGCTACTATTTAGCCGTTTTTATGCTAATCTTAGCCTTTTCAGCTAATTACACTTTTTTTTCACCAACTGCAACTTTTTTCAGCCCAGTTCAGTAAAAATGAGCTCTCTCCACTCCCCTCTGGTAAGTTTCGGTTAGTTTAGTTTTAGTTAGCTACCTTTTAGCTGTTTTTTTGTGCTAATTTCAGCTTTTTTCAGATAATTTCCACTTGTTTGTGCTCATCTCTGCTTCTTTCAGCTTAATCGGACAAACATATAATCTTTCTTCTGCTAATTTATGCTTGTTCTACCTTTTCAGCTACTTTTTAGCATTTTTAGCTAATTTCAGCCGTTTTGAGCTAGTTCTTCAGCAATAAGCATTCACACTGCATTTTCACAGGAAATGCAAATTCTCTACTTTATACGTGTTTCCTGTTTGTTTCTGTTTATCTGTGATCGAGGTTGTTGAACTTTTTTTCTGACTGCGTGTTGTATTATAACCTCCACTGCGTTCTGAGGCACATCTGTCCACATCTGTCGACAAGTCTTCGTGCGTTTCTTTACCTGAACGTAGTACGTTCCTTTGGACTGAGCGTACATCATCAGGAAACAGTAATCCAGGTTCTGCTTCGTCCTCCACCTGAGGAGGAGAGACGTCCTGTTATCAGCAGGGAATCTGTTTTATCTCATTTTAAATGGAATTAGTGGACGCGCAAACATCAGGACAACATCTGTCTGCTTCCGGAGGAACAGCAGCCGAACTCACAGCTGATTAAACTCGTGTGAAGTGTGTAATTAGGCTGCAGTAATGATGGATTACGTCAGCGCACAGATGATGATAATCATCAGCTAATTTAGACACACGACCTGTTTGGTATCAAACAGCAGCTTCCATCACCTCCGAGAGCGAGAACAAACACCACGGCAGGATTCAAATTCACCTCCGCAGCATCGGTCTGCAGGAAGACAAATCAAACCGGTTTCAAAACAAGGCATCTGCGTGGAAAAACGAGGAGCCGAAAGTTTACAGAACCAACACTCGGAGCTGGTTTTAACCAGAAAATAAACTAATGGAGTTCAGCTGCATCAGTTCCTCAGAAAGTTCATAAATTACACCAAGAATTACACAAAGGCATCAACAGATTCTTCACTTGAACACAGTTTTGTGATTTAACCTGAAAAACAGCAGAGTTTACAAAACAAACAGCTCGAAGGAACAAAAGAATCAGACCGGCCCGCGTTTGATGTGACCAGAAATGACTCAAAAACTTTAATGCAGTTCTTTAAATCATGACTAAGTTTATTATTTATAAATACAAACGTGAGGATACAAAGAGTTCTGAGGAACATAAACACAAATATAAAGAGCAGAACATTTGAGCACAGCCCTACAGAACCTCACTGACCTACACAAGGTGAAGTCAGTGAACAAGGCCAGGCTGATTCTGGCAGATCCTGATCATCCACTCCATGGTGAGTTCAGGTTGCTTCCGTCTGGAAGCAGGCAACTGCAGCTCAGATGTAGGACTTAACAGACGAAATCTCATTTATCTCTGTAGTGATCAGGCTTCCCAACGAACAGTGATGATTTCTGTTATTTTAATGTAATAATTAATGTTTTAATATTTTTAATGTCTCAATGTCTTGTCTAGTTTTATGTGACTACAGACTGTGAAACAAATTGTCCCTTGGAAATAATAAAGAGTCTTGAACTTGAACTCACCACGAGAGGGGAATGAAAAACAAATGTCCTGTTTTCCACAAGGGGGTGAAAACATGTGCATTCATGATTAACAAATAAATTGTTTAATACTTCATAAATTAATTTATCACTAATTGGGGAATACATCCCTTAAAAAAAAAAAAAGATGAAATTACCGGTATTATATTAAGTCTAAATAACCCTTAAAATCAGAGTTCTTTGGTTTGAACAGATCAAAAAACAGTTTGAAGACACGGCAAGCTGAGAACTTATGATTTAGGTTGAATTAATTTACAGAATTTAACATTTCATTTGTTGCAGTTTGTGGATAAAGGCCGATATTTCTAAACAGATTAAATTCTTCAAACATTTATGATTAAAAATGGGAATAAAAGTTTGAATTGAGGCAAAAGGAAAAAGAATATTCTGAATATACTGGGTCCATTTTGACGCCAACAACGCCTGGAGGTGCATACGATCCTGCCTGGACCGTGTTAGTAAAACATCTCAAGGGGAACCCACGTTAACAGAACCAACAGGTTCAGACAAACACTTTGAAGGGTTCAGTTTTATAATCCAGGGTGCAGCTCAGGAGAAACTGACGCCGAGGTTTTTATTCACGGAGCAAAGACGTTTATGAGGCCGACAGCTTCCTCTCATCAACAACAACAAACCAAAACAAACAACAGATTTTATTTTCATCAACCGCTGATAAACACCCCGTTTTTAACGCCTTCAGACGAAACTTTCTGTCTTCAAACCTGAAACGATCGTGTTGGCAGCCTCAAAACCTCCTACACCCTTCAAATTAAACAACGTAAAAATCATCAGCTTTTATTGTGCAAACAAAAATTACCGTTATAAACAAACAAACAAACAAACAAACAAACCTGACTCTCTCCTTCGGGTCTCCGAAGGACTCTCGGAGTCGTGAAAAGTCGGGGTAGAAGTGGGGGGATGGAGACACGACCTCCAACAGACCCGACTGGATCTCTGCAGGAAAACTGAGACGAAAGACGCAGTCAGACAAACAAATAAACAAACAAACAAACAGTTTTTAGCTCAGGGGGTTTGTTTCTGTGCAGCGGCTGTCTTCAGCTGGATCAGTGGGGATGAGCTAAACAGGGAACAGATTTCAGCAGAACACCGGTGGTAAAACCAGGTTTTCTGGACAGTCTACACACAACAGCCCCTTCAGTTCTGTTTGTGGTGTCATTAAAACCAAACAGAACATGCAGCTTGGACTCATTTGGAGATGGTTCCTCAGCTCCCCGTCTCACAGCCGGCTTCACGTGAGGCGATTAAAAAAAAAATTCACATTTAACTTTTCTGCCGCTGAGAGGAGCTGAAGTTTGAAAACGACCAAGAATAGTTGGAGATGTTGTTTCAGGACGGACGCTGCGCTGGGGGCACCTGCAGGGCTCCGTAACCAGGACGGGAACTTAATGAAGAGAGAACGAGGAGCGCTTGTTGTCATAGCAACAACATCCCATCATGCAGGTGGACTTACAGCTGCTTCAGGTTGTCTGCTACTCCGCTGGCGTACTGCTGGTCCGCCTGGAAGCACAAACACACAACATCAGCATCAACTACACACGCAGTTATTTCACGTTTTAATTGTGTGTGTGTTTATAGTTTTCATCAGCTATGCACCTTTTTCAAGAACCTTCAGGGACCTCTGTGGGTTTTTCTATCTTTAACGACAGACTAAAAACAGGTTCGTCCACATCTGCACTTCCTGTTTCATGTTCTTGCAGCTATAATCAGCAGGAGCCCTCGTTTATCAAACGATTTCACTCCAAACTACTAACTTCACCTCCGACGAGCAAGTTTTTTACTTCCTGTGTCCCTGCTGATCAAAAACCTGTGGGGAGGAGCCGCTGCTCCTGATGCACCTCTGTTTAAAACTGTTCATTAATAATTAAAATAACGTTCGTAAATTATCTGTCTCGGTCTTAATCTTATCTTATTGGTTTAACTTCTGCTTTACAGAAACGCTGACGTCACCCTGCAGACAGCAGAGAACCTGATCCTGGACCTGCTGATCCACCACCAGCAGGATGTGGTCCTGGGTTCTTTTCTCTGAGGTTTCGCTCATTTAATATTTATCTTTTCCCTTCAAAGCTTTAAAGTGCCTTCGCTGCTCCTTATTGGTCCGAGCAAACCAGGTTCTGCTCGGACGGCCCGTTCCTGCTGCACACACTCAAGACGACCAGATATTAAAGCTGAGATTCTGACTTCAAAATAAAATCAACGGTTAAAAAAAACAGGAAACGGCTGATTCAGAAGGAAAAACATCGGCCTTCCTCCTGCTGAGGCAGATCGGAGTTAACATCAAACACAAAGTCGGTGACATTAAACCTATGTGCTTTCATGTGCGCGTGTGTCTTAGAGCTCATTAGCTAAACTAGTGGCCTTTAGAAAACATGTGAGAAAGCACTCAGACCAACACACACTCATTCTGACAGTCAATTATCTTCACAGAGAACACACACACACACACACAGCACGCAGTGTTTCCATCACGTCGCAGGACTTTAAGTCAAACTAACTACTAGCTGTTAACTTTGTTATTTAATAGCTCGTTTAGCTCTTAGCTTTTGTAGCTTCATTAGCTGTTAGCTTTGTTAGCAGTCAGCTGATGGCTTTGTTAACTTTGTTAGCTGATAGCAGGCGCAGAAGTGAACAGGAAGTTTAAGTAAACAACTCCGTGTTCTGTAAAAAAAAAAACAACAGCGAGCGTCAGCTTTTCCTCAAGTATCAAGCAGAGTTTGTTTAATCCGGAGGAACATCAGGAGGAAATAAAACGAGACAATATTGATTTATTGATTGTGATTTGTCTGAGCTGCTGATTATAAGATGAATTAAGACGTTTGTGAAAACAGACCGGGGTCAAGGATCAGCTCTGGAAAATGTCAGCTCTTAGTAGACGCAGCTTCTGTTGAAACCATGCAGCAAAAAGCAGCTGAATGTCAATTTTATTAATGAGTAATAAAATAAAGAGTAATTAAATACCATCACCCAGTGTCCAGGCTTGAGGTTTATTTATGTAGTCAGAAACATTAAAGGACAAATGTTTAATCCGGCAATTTATTTATGGAAGCAAATGTTAAAAACGTGAGCAAATTAAACATTCTGTTTAAATAAGCCGTTTCTTTTTTTTTTTAAAACACACAAATGCAATTAACTTTGCGCACCTAATTATTTTACTTTCCTCTTGAATCTTGGAAATGAGGTTTACAGAAAAAAAATAAAAATTAGAAGCTGCACACAAAACCACACAGACAAATACAGGTAAAAATATTATTGCTAACCCCCAACACAATGTAGCCACATGAAATGATAAATAACTCGAACACACACTGACCTCTGCAATGAGGACGACAATGACACAGTCGTCCTTCTCAGCAGAACTGAGCTCGGACATCAAGGAGCTGAGCGTGTCCGTCAGGTAGGAGTGGACCTCCCTCTTCACGCTGGGAACCCCCATCACGATCGAAACTGCACACAACGAACATCAGAGGAACACGTAAAAAACTGTTCGGATCCTGGAGGAAATAAAAGATTAAAGCATCAAGTCTCAGAGATCCTGGGAGCACAGAGTGTCAAATGTTTTCATTAAATACACAGAGCCGATAGAGAGACCTGGAAAGATGCTTTGTAACCATTAAATACACAGAGCCGATAGA